AATAACAAGCTTCATTAGCCTCTAACATGAAAGTCAGCCTGTACTTGGAAGCTAGGCATTGCCTTCTCCTATCTAGTAGCTATGAAAGTCCTAGATGGCATCATTTTCCAATAGAAAACTAATTCATCTACACGGAAACTCTGATATTTGGTGAAGCCACCTTCATTAATCATTTCAGCTAGATTTCTGGATAACTTGCTACAGCTTCTACATCAATTTTGCCTTGTACTTTTATGTTTTGGAAATGGCTTCTTTCCTTACTCCTCTTTAATCCCCTTCAACCAACCTCTGCTACTGTCACATTTTCTTCTGCAGCTTTCTCACCTCTTTCACCCTCCATAGAACTGGAGAGAATTAGGGTCTTGCTCTGGATTAGGCTTTGGTTAAAGGGAATGTTGTAGCTGGATTGACTATCCAGGCCACTAAAACTTTTCCGTATCAGCAGTAAGGATGTTTGGCTTTCTTATCATTCATGTGTTCACTGGAGTAGTACTTTTAATTTCCTTCAAAAACTTTCCTTTTGCACTCACAACTTGGTGCAGGAGGCCTAGCTTTTAGCATATCTTGGTTTCCACAGGCCTTACTTACTTACTCATTTCTAACTTTTGATTTAAAGTGGGAGATGTGCGGCTCTTCCTTCATGTGAATACTGAGAGGCCACTGAGGGTTACTAATTGGCCTAATTTCAGAAGTGTTTTGTCTCAGGAAACAGGAAAGTCCAAGGAAAGTATGAGAGATGGGAGAACAGGTGATCAGTGAAGCAGTCAGAACACACATACCTAAGTTCATCATCTCATATGTGTGCAGCTCATGGTTCCCCAATTATAATAGTAACAGCAAAGGTCACTGATCACAGATCAGCATAAAAAAATACAATAGTAATGAAAAACTTTGAAATATTGTGAGAATTAGCAAAATGTAACACAGAGACACGAAGTGAGAAAAATGCTGCTGGGAAAATGGTGCAATTTATTTGCTCAATGCAGGGTGGCCACAAAACCTCAATTTGTAAAAACAAAAAAAAAATATGATATCTGAGAAGTACAATAAAGCAAAGCACAATAAAATGAGCTTTGTCTTTAACTTAGAATAATCAACTCACTGTTTTGTTTAGTATAACTTCCTTATTCCTGCTCTCTTTAGGCTATGAGGGTCATTCATTTTATACAGCTCCCCTGGAGCTCCTAACTGCTACATTGAATGCTGC